GCTTTCTTTTTGTACAATAAATGATGATCTGTGTTGTTGTTCTTCTGAGGTTGTCTTTACCTACTTTTGAGAACTGCTAAGGACCAGATGATTTTTATTATGTCCTGATATGTAAAACCATAGAACTCAAAGAGGGTGTACTTTCCTTTTTACACAACTGTAGTTTATGAGTGCCAGAAATTATGGGTGGTACAATGGGCAGTGTAACAATACAAGGGTTACTGACTCAACCTCTATATCTGAGCAAATACACATACGGTTATTGAATGGGAGACTAGAAGGAGCTGGTGTAAATATTTTAGTCTTTAAGCTCTACATATGGCAAACTGCAGTACTCAGTCCTTAGTATTTTTAAAGCATGGATGACCATTGACAAGCTGATTTTGCCCAGGACGAGACTATAATTTGTGCACCAACTTAAACTGGTAGAAAGTAATTTGAGATACTGATACCATGTGGTTCTTAAAGCAAACTGCAACTGACAAGTCAGAAATATCAGCAACAAATAGCAGCCCTTTCTTGCTTCAGTTGGCTTTCATTTTATTTAGCCTTATCTAATCAACTTCTACTTTTTACTGATTTCTAGAGAAAGGAGCAATAAATCTGGAAATATTGCTAGTCTCTGATTCTCCTTTGGTGATGGCTCTATCATTTACATTAATCCATTGGTACAGCTGTGATCTGCCTGGTCTCCCTATGTGTCGATGCATATGATACACAGTGATCTAGAAAGCTATCAAATTCTTTTCTCATTAAATGTGTACAGAAGAAAGTACTGGAGAATCTGGCCTTAGGAATACTTCAAATGGATTCCTGCAACTGGATTCCTGCAACTCAGTGTTGTTAAGAGTTTTGAGAAACTGCAGCTGGTGAATAATACTAGACCGTTTACTTTGATATAATACCACTTGCCTTCTGGGATTAATTCCTGGTATTGAATAATATTTAAAAAAGCATTCTTATTAATTTGCTCATAGGATGTTTCAGAAATCCTGATGGGTCAGACCATTAGAAAATTTGGTTGGTGGAAATGCCAAACAGGCTGACTCTGTGACCAAGTCCCCATGTTCCTTCCAGAGAGAAGTTAGATTAAACCTGTCCCTGATGGCTTTTAGGCAGTTGGCAAATACTGCTGGTTGGTAATGATATTTAATTTGAGATTAAAGAGCTTAATTCTGTTTTAAAGGGCTGAGTTAAGATATTGGAAGACTTTTATCAATAGCTTTTTGCCATGAGAGCTAAATGGGATCATCACATTCAGATATAGTATATCTTTGAATGATTACATATCTTGTTTTTGAGCTTCCTCGAAGCATTTGGGTTGCCACAGAAAGAGGATAATGGATGGAAGAGATTCTTGGAGGCTGTCTGATTCATGAATGTGTTCCCTGGGCAAAGTTTAAGAAGGTTATAGTTTAACATTTTTGGTTTCTTAAAGGAAAAATATGAAGAAGTTTTCGTACATGATGAAATGGCTTCTCAGCATATAAGCTCTGCTGAGTCGTTGCGTTATGCACTCCCAGCTACAGGGGCAATGAATCCAAAGGCAGTTTCACCACGAAAACTCCATGTGAGGAGCCGGGCTCCCTCCCAACAGAACGTCATCCGAGAAATCACTTACTATAAAGCCAAAGATGCCGAAACAGAAAATGACCTTGAAGAACGTGAGTTATGGTTTTGAAAATTCATAGCTGCATTTGCAGAATTTGGGATGCTGTACTCTTAATAAAATTCTATTAGGCAGTTTTTCTTAATTCTTAAATTATTTTAACTTGACATGACTGATATTTTTAAAAATATATATAATCTTTTTTGATAGGCGAAAGTGTTCAAGACTGATAAGAAAAGTTTGTGTGTAAGAGCCAAGGAATGGGTCTGAAATACCATGTGACTTGAAAATTATATTCTTAGAAACGGAAGCAGTTTTACTAAACAAATGAACATATGTAGATGAGTCTCAGTGTGGACTTTTGAAATCAAGAAGAATTCCACTGTCTTCACTTCCAAGTTGTGATCTCAAATTTAATCACTGTTGGTGCAGAATTATGTGATGTGAATTGTGCTTCTAGGACTTCTGGCGCATTTAGACAACTTAGAGTCTGGGATTTAGAGATTAGCCTTTCTTTTTTTATATATATAACTTTATTAAATTTTAAAACAGAAACAGTAAAAATTGACAAAAACTAATATTCAAGGAAGAAAATAAAAAAAAGAAAGAAAAATTTAAAAAAGAGGGCCAAGGTGCAAAAAACAAGAAAAGAAAAGAAAAAGCAAAGAAAGAGAAAGAATTGACTCCCGACTCTCCTTACAACAGATAAAAGTAACAGTATACATCAGACTCTAGCTCTACGTTTACAACATAACTTTCATTATTTCTGTTAACCCATATTATTTCTAATCAACAAATCCATACAACATAATTTCATTTTTTTCTGTTTCCCACAAAAAGTCCAAAAAAAGTTTCTAATTAGCATTAAAATTACACAATGTCTTTTCTCAAATCAAAGCTGTCAATTTCGCCATCACAGCCAACTCTATCAATTTCACCATCCATTCTTCCCTTGTAGGTAATGTCATTTTCTTCCACCTCTGTACATATATGTATTTCAACCTTAGTCAAAAATAACTCTATTTTATAATCCAATTTATCATTTTCTCTAAAAGAAGAAGCAAAAAGAAATCTCTCCCCATTTATACACAGATCCTTAAAATCTTGTCATTCAAGCCTAATCACAAAAAAATCCCATTAATAACTACCAAAAACCTAAACATGTATTTTAATCATAGTCAAATAAGTTCACTTTATAGACCTTCAGTTTACTTTTAAAGAGTTTAATCTTTAATCCTTTCAAATAGTATCCCTCAAGTTGATTTCTTATCATTTTTTCTTTGTCTCCTCTCAGAAACAGCTTTCATTTTGCAAATCCAGGATCAGAAGTCTTTCCAAGTCACTCTTCTCTTTTATTATTTGTATGTCCCCTTTGATTCTTGTGACATCAGTTGGTTTCATTTATAAATCAATGTTGGCATCTTTTTCCATATCACCCTTGTACTTTGGCATTTTTAAATCCATTTTCAAATCCACAGCATCTTTGTTCGTACACTTTTATAATCCAAAAATTTTTTTAAACTCCAAATCTGCATTTACATCAGCCTCAACCTCTATTTCAAAATTGTCCATCTTATCCAATCTTTTCTCTTTCCTCCCTTTTTTTTTCCCCCAAGGGAGTTGAATTTAGCTTCAAGTGACTGAACTAGTTTGAGTCCTAATTCATCAAACATTAATTAAACTTAAAGGAATCATTTTATCTTCTAATGGCTGCTCCAAGGGGCCTCTTCTAGCCATTTTTCCCCCCAAAGCAGGCAACTGTAAGGATTGTATGTAAGTGAAAGCGAGCAGACACGTCACGCCCTCTGGCACGCGCCAACAGGGCATACACAAAAAGCTCAAATTACTGTCTTCTTTTGTCTTGAAAATCCAGCCAATCAACAAGCACATCACAGAAAAACAAAACAAAACAAAAATTCCCATAGAAAAATCAAATCCAATTAATATAGATGGAGTTTTGTAAAATTAAACTTTTAACAAATCTTCCCCTTTCACCATAAGTAACTTTTATATCTTTTTTGTATTCTTATCTTCCAGCTTCTTGCCAATTGTTCAAATTACAATAAAACTCTAATTCTTCTTCTTTTAAAGTTATAGTCCCAGAAGTAAGGAAAAAACACCAAGAGAATTACTTATCTGTTGCAAAGGAAGGTCTCTCTTACGTTGAAAAATAGTTATATTCCAAAGTGATTTAGAAATGAGGTTTGGTCTGCTCTAGTGTCCATATTTAGGCTGCACCACAGCTTGGAACGAAGATGGATCCCCTGCCTCCCAGCCCCTCTCCTCACAAGCCATTTGCAGAAACTTCTGTTTCTGCAATTAGCGTATGAGGAACGGATGTCCCAGAGACCTAACGGGTTGATTTCTCGCTTCCTCCTTGATCCAGAGCAAGTTGGGCAGCCAGCGCTTGCTGCCAGCCACCAATTCAGCTGCAGTGCCATCTCCCCTCTCACAAAGATGACTAAACCGCCATTGTCTCCATTGGAAGTCTGAGAGATTAGCCTTTCCATTTGGCCAGTTATCCTGGTTAGAAGGAGAGAGGATATGTGTGTGTGTGAACGTTTGCCTTCTTTGCATGGCATGGATCATTTTGCTGTTGAAGGCACTTGCCACTCTCTGCTCTGCAAAGTCCTTTTTTCAGAGCATCTGCTCTTTGTCACTGCCACTCTGAGGATTAGACTGCATGGGGCTTGGAGACAAGCAGGTGTTCCTATTTCACAACAGGGAGTTGGATGGTATGGCATTCACATTTCATCCCAAATCCCATTTTTGCTTTATCTACTTGTGTGACTATATTTTAAATGCAGTTCAGAATTCAGAGAATTAAGTGCACACACATGACCCAATTCAGTTGTGGGTTTTTAATATATCTTGGGAGAGCCACTTTAGTGTAGTGGTTAAAGCACCAGGTTAGAAACCAGGAGACCGTGATTTCTAATCCTGCCTTAGGGCCAAAGCCAGCTGGGTGGCCTTGGGCCAGTCACTCTCTCTTAGCCCTAGGAAGGAGGCAGTGGCAAACCACTTCCAAAATCTTGCCAAGAAAGCTCAGGGACCCATCCAGGCAGTTGCCAGGAATCAACACTGACTTGGAGGCACCAAAAAAAAAATAAAAATAAAATCCTGAATAAGATTTTGCAGTCAACTGAGTGCAAGGATTCCCCAGCTGTTTAGTGGACATATGTTTGTCTACTAAACAAAGCTGGAAGGCTGCCAATCAGCTGTTGAGGAAGGAAGGCTGGATTCTGCTTTTTTGCTTCTTCTTCTCTGCCAAGCAACTGATCAGAAAGAATCCACTTACTTTTACTAGCTCACATATGTTCATTCCTTCAGTCTTGATCTAATTAATATTACAAATGCCTCTCTGAGGGAAGGGGTAGAATGCCTCTTCGTTTAAAGGTGACAGTTACTGTGCCTGTCTTAGGAAGTTTGCACTGGATCTTTCAAAATGGGCAATTATAGACCAGTTTCTAACTTTTCATGTTTGGATAAGGGATGTTGGTGGCTTCCAAGCAGTCCTAGAGAAAACAATGATCTGTACCCATTTCAAACTGGTTTCAGAGCAAGCTACAGGTCAGACTTGATGGATGACTTTTGTTTGGAGACTGGCATTACTTGAAACTTTGGAAAAAAATGGTTTTGCAGTTCCATTCCTATCCCTCAGGGAGAATTTAAGTGCAGTTAAATCCTCAGTTTAACTAATAGGATTTTTTTCCCCAAGATGATGACTGGGTGTCTTGCCTTTGTGAATTGTGGATGTATTTGAGAAGGACAGTATTTTTAACATCCGCATCAAACTACTGAGGAAAATTATCGGTGATTTGGATTTGAATGTGACAGAGAAATACAAATCTATTTCTCTGTAACATTTCCATGTAATGGTGCCCCTGGCTCTGAATCCCTATCTGCAGCTGGTAAAGGGCTAAATTAGGAGTAATTAATCAAACCAAATTCGGATAAGATGGCAATTTCATTGTAGGGTGTTTTAATTCCAGAGAATAGATCTTCCCTTTTTGGATGGGATTACTTTCTCCCAGAATGAGCAGATACAAAATCTGGGTTACGTCTGAATCTGGATCTCTCTGTGGTTTCCAGATTGAACTAGTGACCAGGAGAGCTTTTTATTGGTTTTGGCTGATACACCGATTGGACTCTATCTTGAGGAAAAATTAACTTAAAATGATGATGCACATCCAGACTTAATTACTACAATGTGCTCTATGTGAGACAACCTTTGTATCTAGTCCAGAAACTTCAGTTAGTACATAAATTAGCAGCCAGGTTGGTCTCTGGAAAGACTCAAAGACAACATCATACATCTACTGAAAGCAATACACTGGCTTCTGATTTGTTTTGGAGCACAAGACAAAATTCTGATTATCCCCTGCTTGGGTCTGGGTTACATAAAATTTCTTCTTATAGGAATATTTTGCATATTGAGGTAATCTGGGAATGTTTACCTTCTGAGGTGTATGGAGGCAATTCAGAGTTGAGTAGCCAACCCTAGTTTGTGGAATGTGCTTATTGTTGCTGTGCGAGAACTTATCAGTAAAAAAAGTCTTTGAAGACATGGGTTTTTTCAAGACAGGTTAATGATTTTAATGTAAACTAAATAGATTTTTAAGTACTTTATACTTCATATTTTATTGTCAATTATAACTGTAGTCAGTATAAAAATGTAATAATAAATACTCTGTGTCTTAGCAGAAGAAGAGCCTTTCAGTGGTGATACTATAGATTTGCTGATTGAGGACCAGCTTTTACAACACAACTACCTGTCAAATGTTCCTTCAAGGAAGCCACCACCTGTGGAAGATCTGCTTTTACATGATGATATTCAGCTCCTGAAGGGGCATGTTACAAGCACCACATCCACTGGAAAAGAAACCTCTGCCAGCATTACCACAGCAACAGAATCACCACTGTCCTCCACAAGCAGGCTGCCTCCTCTAGAGTCAACCCCAGTCTCTACCTCATCAGTTGCCTCTACTGCCCATGTCCTGGAGACCACAGCAACAGCTGAATTTTCAGTAACTGGGGCAGCAGATGAAGATACCACATGGACTATGAAAACACTGGCTCAGGTTGCCACTCAGGCTCCCACAACCACAACCACATCCACAACCACAACCACAACCACAGCAGCACAGAACACAACTACTATGATGGCCCCCACCATTAGGATGACCACAACAGATTTCCAGACACAGATGACACCTGAGCCTACTTTAAGTACCACAATCAAAGCTGTGACCTCTCCAGTCTCTGTGAGTCCTAGCCTTACTGTCACACCAGACTATAGCCTCGATGAGGAAGATATCAGAAACAGCATTGGTGAGCTTCCCATCCCATTTATCTTATCTCGTTACTAGTGACTGGGATACTATTAGAATGGGATAAAAAAGGCTCTTACCTTGGGCCCAATCTATAGAAGGGGACTAAATACATTATAAGTAAAGCAGTGTTAAATTCTCTACTAAGCACTTTCAAGTGTGGAATAACTGTTTTCAGTATGGTATACTAAAAACCAAATCCAAGATTATTCGAATTTAACGAAGGAAGCAAGAATTCATTATCTATTGTTGGAGATACAAAGACTATGTCCGTTCTGCTGTTTTGAACATTGAAAGAAGGGAAGAGGAATATTGAGGTTGAACATTTGGTCACTAATAGCTGGCAGTTATTATGTGTAGCAGCTTGGAATGGGAAGAGTTTATCTGAACATTTTAGCATCAGTATCCTTAAAATATCCACCCATCCACCCTCTTGTTTGATTGCTGGTTCTGTGGGAGAAATGAGAGCATGTGCCAAGTGTAAAAATGAATGGGTTAGCCTCTCATCAGTGATGATTTGACAAAATGAAGATTGATGAGTCAGTAATGTATTTTAATGCTAAACTCGATGAAGTGCCTATGAGTTACAACGATAAATGAGGCCACCCAAATATTAGGTAAATGGATTCTTCTTAACTTAGAAGATTCCCTATGAATACAAAAGTATAGTAATATTTTTAAAAGGAAGAGGAGAAAAAATTGCATGGGACCTAACACTCTACAGAATGTTGAGAGTAGTTAAGATGTGGCACTGCTGAGTGTGTAAACTGAGGAGAAAAAAGGGAGAAATGGAAATGTCCAAGAGGGAAGTGACTTGCTCAAAGCCTTTGTGTCTTTTAATAAATGCAGGGAGGACAAGGACTAGTGTCATGAAATGCTCATTAGAGAGGAAGCAGTGTATGCATTTCTACAAATACTAAGGTCACTAAAAAGGTGCCTAAGAAAACAATTCTAGTTTTTCATAGTTTTGGGAGAAGTGTTGAGTAAAGTAATTGAAACTGAACTACAGTACTAGGCTATGGATGAACAGCTTGACTTGGTATAAAGCAGCTTTTTGTGTCAATAGCAGTTTTCATAATCAGTAATGTATTACCGGAGTCTGACACAGACACCTACAAGTAAGGAGAAGCAGAAACAGTCCTCCTTCCTTGCATGGCCTTATTCACACCCAGTGTCACCGTTGTGATTACAGGTAGTCCTTAATTAATGACCATTCGTTCAGCGACTATTTGAAATTACGACGGGGTTGAACAAGTGGTAGTTATAAGCAGTCCTTGGAGTTATGGCCATTGCAGTGCCCCTGCAGTTACATGATCAAAATTCAGGCGCTTGGCAGCCCACCCACATTTATGACTGGAGCGTGTGTTTCAACAGCCCCACCCGCCTATGCCCCACATCTCTGCCCTTTTGGCTGCCCTGCACTCTGCCACTGCCTACCCCTGCTGCCCCCCGCTGCCTCCAGCTGACTTTCGACATCTTCTTTCTCTTGCTGCTGATGACATGCTGGGGAGTTGAAGTGGATGCGAGCACAGCAGGGCAGGAGAAGCATGAGGTCCTCACCTAACAACAGTACAGTCCTCACCTAGCGACTGCAACCAGGAATACCGGAACTGCTGTTGCTAAGCAGTGCGATCACATGATGTTTTGGCTAATGACTGCTTCACTTAGTGATGGAAATTCTGGTCCCAATTAGGGTCGTTAAACAAGGACTGCCTGTACCTATACAAAGGCAGAAGAGGGTGGCAAAGGATGGTTGATTAGATTTTTACTGAAACTGTTTCAGAAAGAAAAATAATGACAAATAATATGACAGTCCTACAGTCAGACAGAATGAGTCTACCTTTGGCGGCATATTTTTCAATAAGTGAGATTAAAAAGAAAGAAAAAGAAAAGAAGCTCCCCTCTTTTGGGGAGTTTTCAGGAAAAAGATGTATTTTCTCTTTCCTCTTTCCCATAACTTATCCCCCCTGTATACAGTAATCCTGAAGGGAGGATTAAATTGGGGATATATATATGCCATGAGCCTCCCCCCCCAAAAAGAACGCCCCTTCTTCCCTCTGCTGAGAACTCCAAAAAGGAGAGGGGAGGGCCCTCCACAAAGGTTTTGCTTTGCTTCCGATCTGCTGCTGTTGCTCCCGCATCTCCACTGGCTGAACGCGCAGCGTCAAGGACTGCAGAGAAGAATGGGATGGCCAGTCTCGGGTTAAAAATAGTGATGGGTAGAAACAGCTTTGGAACAGAGCCTGATGGGTCAGAGAAGGTATTTGAAGAGGATTTGGTGTCCGAGGGAAAGGGCTAAAGAGGAGCCCATCACGTTACAAGAACACAAGTGCTGCTCTGGAGGGTCAGAGGCTTTGCAATTATAGTACTGCGCTGCTTGATAAGTATTATTTCTGTGAAACCTAAATAGTTGCTCTCTATTATGTTTGGATCTCTGCTGGTCTTAAATTACATTTTTGTGCTTTTTTATTCTAATCTACGAAATGCAGGCCCATACTGGATTTTTGTTTGCATTTTATCTTTCTGAGATAAAATTTGCTCTAGAGCAATGAATGAATGAAATGGCAGAGGCTGACCTAACCCGGAGCTATCTGGTTTTTCTGGCCCTGTATTTCTGTCCATCAGACCAGCGCACCTGGCTACTGCCCCAGGTTTTCAGCAAGCAGGGCTAGAGATTTATCTTTGCTTCATACTGTAGCTCTTTATTATTTTGAGAATTGGGTAGCCCTTCTTATTTTGAGAGTTTGCCCTACTGAGTGGCAAAACCACATTTATATGAGGAAAGCCAAATCCTTTGAATTAGCCAGAACCAGAATAAACATATAAATAACAAAATGATAAAATGTATGACACAAGATCCCTGTTGCTCATTACGCTGTTGATCTATTACTCATTCCTACAATTTGGCACTAGAGGAACTTGTGATGCCTCTGTTTTAAATGATCTAAACATTGTCCTTGACTATCTTTTGTGCCATCCTTGTTCTGTTTATTAATAAATGCTTGCTTAGACCCTTATCCCATATCTTTGGTAGCCATGTTTATTGGGAGAAATAGTTACAGGTTGGGACTGCAAAAGAAAGATGGTAGGCAGATAGCATTTCTCCGGTGCCAACCATACCACCCCCATGAACTTTACAGTTTACTCAGCTGGAACAAATGACCATTTCTCAGCTAAATTACTATTAAGTAGCTGAGATTACTGTCTAAGAGCAATCTCATCATCCAGCCCTCAGTATTCATCCTCGGTGGCCCTGGGCTCCAGCTGCTGTTTTTGAATGCCAGATTGATCTGTAATAAATTTGTCCTAAATCACAGTTTAATCATGATGAAGCGGCCAACTGTCGTGTATAACCAAGACCTAGGTAAGCCTGGAGCGGGGAATTCCCTTTTGGAAATGTGTGCACCCAGGTTTCAGGTTTGGCATCGTCCTAGAGCTGGGGGGAGGGGGAATGCTACTATCATCTGTGAGTTGTTGAAGGCTCTCAGAGACTCTGTGCTGCAGATAACCAGATGTCATACCCTTGGTTGAAGTCAGGTTGTAGGGAGCAGTTGGGATTGCTGCAGATGTACTGAATTCCATGCTGCATTTCACCATCCCTGCCTAATCTGGGTTTCATGGGTGGACTGGCTATGGAGATCCTGAGACAATTAATCCTCAGGGATTTCAATTTATCACCAAGTAATATTTAGTCTGGGGCAGCTCAGGAGTTCTGGCCTCCATGGCAACCATGGACCTGTCCCAAACAATAAAAGGCTGGCATATAGCAGTGGTTGCAGGGATGTGTTTTTTTGTCTCGGAGCAGTTGCAAGTTGATCTGGTAGTGGGGGGCATTACCATCAGTCCATCGCAATGATAGATCACTCTGTAACTGCCTTTGGGCTTGCTGGTGTCACCCCCCCCCCTTGCAGGTAGATAGCACCTGTTAGATCAGCCTGCTGCAGGTGACTTATTTATGTATTCAATTTATATGGCCATCCATCTTTATAAGTGACTTTGGGCAGCTTATTGACCCTGTTAAGTTCCAGAGGTAGCTTGGGGTTTTCCCTGAGGATCTGGTGGAGGCATTAGTTACAGCCTGGAATGGGCAGGTAGTGGAGGCCTTGGACTGTATTACTCTTATGCTTACTCTGCCAATCCTGGGCACATCTTGTTTTCCAAGGAGCTCTGAGAGGTGAAGTGCTAGAAGAGATACCTGGAGTGCCATTGGAGGAAGATGAAGGGAAAGTCATATCAAACATGAGTAAGAGATCATATTTGGGATTACAGAGTGACAGTAAGACCAGCAAAACGGCATTGTTTTTCTGCATTTATTGAGTCCATTGATAGCTGCCTGGCGGCCCTGTTTAAGGTAACTAATTCCTTGCTGGGAAGGGAACAAGATACAGGAACATTTGTATGGCACTGTAAAGTATGTTCAAGCTGTTTGGCAGATAAAGTTGCTCAAATCCACTCAGAGTTGGATATCAGTTGGGCAAGTCTGGCTGAGATGCTTGGGGCACAGTCTTCTGGTGTTATCTGGAGTTATATTGGAGACTGTGACTCTAGATGAAGTGGATAGGGTCCTTAAAACTGTGAGCTTGTCCCTCTGTCATCCAAGCCCCTTGTAGATTGTTACGGCTGCCTGGGAGGTGACGTGAGGTTAGGTCCATACAGTGCTGTCAGCTTCTTTGAGAGAGGGAGTGATTCCTTTGGCCTTGAAGGAGGCATTGGTGTGCTTCTCTTCAAGAAGTTCTTGCTGGACTCAATAGTCCTGGACAATTTTGTCCAATCTTCCCTCTTTTGGAAAAGTTGTTGAAAATGTGGACAGGCAACAGCTCCAGAGGATCCTGGAAGAAACAGAGTGTCTGACCCATTTCGATCAGGTTTCAAGCTGGGGTACAATATACAGAGGCAGCATTCATCATGCTTATTTACGACTTTTGGCAGAGCTGGGATGAGGGTGGTGTATTCATCCTTGTGCTCCTTGATGCCTCAGTGGCTTTTGAGACGATAGATCATAGTATCTTTCTGAACTGGCATATTGCCAGCGGTCCTCCTCGTTTTTCTGTGGTCAGTTCCGGTGTATTTAGAGTTGATGAGATGTTATGGCGCCATGGTGGGAAGTATAGTGTGCCTTTGTAAGGGTAATACAGTTGTTTTATTGTTTTTTTTATTGGTTTTGTTGTGATCTGCCTAAGCTTATTGTGTATAAAATAGGCAGCCACAAAAGTTCAATAAATAAATAAACATCTACATGAAACTACTGAGTGAGATCATCTGTTGGTTTGGGGTCATCAGTATGCTGATGACATCCAATTGTATATCTTGATCCTGAGTGATCCAAGTGATACTGTCAATGTGTGTCCCAGTATCTGGAGGCTGTCCAGATCTGGATATGGAGGACTGACTCAAGCTCAATCTTGATAGGATTGAGTGGTTGTGTATATTTGGGGCCTCTTGTCTTGGGGACTTTCCATCTTTAAGTTGGATGGGGTAGCATTTCCTCATTCAAGACTGGTGCACAATCTGGGGGTGGTCTTGGACTCACAGGTCCTGCTCAAAGAGCAGGCAGCAGCTGTGGCCTAGAGGGCCTTTGCAAAGAGCGATCTAGTGCACTATTTGTGCCCATTCTTGGATTGGGAGGCTGTTCAGATGGTCACGCCCTAATCATCTCATGAATGGCCTATTGCAATGTGTTATACATGGGGCTGCCAATGAAGACCACTTAGAAGCTACAGCTAGTAGCAGCACAGACAGTAATAGGTATGCCATGGTATACTTATGTCACCAGTTGCTTCTGGGTGCAATTCAAGGTTCTGGTTGCCACCTATAAAGCCCCACGTGGCATAGGGCCTGGTTATTTGAGGGAACACCTATTTCCAATAGTTTCTGCCCATCCAGTAAAATCAGGTAGACCAGATAGCCCCAGGTCCCCTCAAATAATGGCACATGTTGGGTCTTAGGAAGCAGCACCTGACCTCTGGAATAGCATCCCCCCAGAGATCTTGGAGTAGAGCAGTTATCAAGCCCCTACAGGATGCTTGTGTTTGTATGGTTTTCCTCTGGGCACATGTGATCTGTATCTTTTTTATTGTTTCTTGCCTTCAAAGTGTCAACCACCCAGAGTTGTTTGGAGTTGGGCAGTCTCTACATTGTGTATGTGTATATACATAGAGAGAGTAGCTAAAGCACCTTAAAACCTTTATATATACATGGCAAATGCTAAACATTCTTTCTTTGTTTTCAGGTCAATGCAAGGACACTTTGTCCACTATCACTGGGCCAGTAATTCAGAACACATATGGGCGGAATGAAGGTGCTTGGATGAAGGATCCAGTTGCCAAGGACGAGCGAATCTATGTCACCAACTATTATTATGGCAACACTTTGGTGGAATTCCGGAATCTGGACAGCTTCAGACAAGGTTTTATGTTTGCTCTGTACCATGGGATGAACGGCCAGAGTAACCAGCAGAAGAGAACAATTCTGGGTTGGGGGGCCAGGAGAAGTTTGATGCATCCTGAGAAAAGTTTAGATGGAAAATTGAATTCTTCCAGAGCAAAGCATTTGACTTTGAGGAAGGGATTGGAGACAGGACAGTCAAAGTGAGCTTGGGAGCAAAAGTCTTAGAAATCTGTGAAATAGAAACGACGTTACAGATAGTCCTTGCTTAACGTCCATTCAGCGACTGTTTGAAGTTACGATGGCACTGAACAAAGGGGCTTACGACCAGTCCTCAAAGTTCCGGCTGTTGCAGTGTCCCCATGGTCACATGAACAAAATTCAGGCCCACTCAACTGCCTTTTAGCCACCCACCTACCCACTGCTGCAAATTGCCACCGCCACCCGGCCCTGCCAGCTGCCACTACTGTACTGGCCAAGGCCTTCTTTCACGATACTTTCTTTCACACCAGTGCAGCCAGGGCTTCTCTCACACCCTGTCCAGGGCCTCCATTTGGGTGCCAGCCTTCTTTCCCATGCTGGGCTTCTGTTGCGAAAAGGGTGGGGGACGAACAGAGGCCCTGCCTGGCATGCGGAGGCCTTGGGCAGGGGCCGAGAGAAACCCTGGCTGCACCAGCAGGAAAGAAGGCGGCGCAATCGAAGGCCCCAGCTGGTACAGTAGTGGCGCCTGGTGCGGCAGGCAGGGCTGGGCAGCTAATAGCAGTAGGCAGCGGGTAGGCAGCAGTCAAGAAAAAAAAAGTAGCGGTAGGCAGCAGGTAGGTGGGCAGCCAAAAGGGCAAAGATGGGGGGGGGAGATAGGCAGGTGGGGGGAATTCCAGAGGAGGCAGTCCCTCACCTTACCAAGGCTCAGGGCTGGGAGGAAGCAAGCCTGGAATGGCTTGGATCGGGATGGATTCTCGCCTAATGACCAGTGGGATTCAGTTAATGATGGCAATGGGGACTTCCAGGATTGCCTTTGCTAAGCGATGCAGTCATGTGACATCACGCTTTATGACTGCATTCCTTAGTGACGGAAATTCCTGTCCCATTTACCATTGTTAACTGAGAACTACCTGAGGAGAATTAAGGGAGCTCAGAATGGTATAGTAGTTTTGTGCCAAGTAGAGCATTTCTGCATCTGTCCAGTTTCTCCCTATAAAATAAATTGGGGAGCTAAATGGACTTTCTATAAATAGCCAAACTGTTTGAAATCTGCTAAATTTTGAATGCAAAATTTGTGATGCTTTATCTTTCATTTTGAATGCTTTAGATTTACTTGCATATGGTGAAGTCTTTACTTTTGGTAAGAGTCAAGGGGCAGATGTGAAATCTTATAAACTGAGCCATCCATGACAAATATTAAAAGACCTTGTTTGCCACAAGGCAGATATGCTTACTATTATCTGATTTTAAAAAATCTTAGTGCTGAAAAACTGAAAGCATACAAATGCTAGATACATTGCAGATATTAGAACACCGAAAAAAATAATACTGAAACTTCAGTGATAAAATCTACAGAAGAAAATGTGGGAGAATAAATTTCACATCTAGTTAGTATATCCTAGATTAGGAGGACAACTGGAGTTCAGTAACACAGGAGTAAATCTCCAGATTTAATCTTTGACATCTGCCCGAAATCCTGAACAGCTGCCACTAAGCAGTGGGTAGAATGTTTCTCTTGGCGTCTTCACAGAAAATATATGTGCAAGTAAGATCAGGATCAAGTGTGCTCTTTAATTTATTATACCATCTGTTTCCTAGGCCGATGGAGTAACTCGTATAAGTTGCCCTACAGTTGGATGGGAACAGGCCACGCAGTCTTTAATGGTTCTCTCTACTACAACCGAGCCTTTACCCGCAACCTCATTAAGTATGACCTCAAGCAGCGCTATGTGGCTGCCTGGGCCATGTTGCATGATGTAGCCTATGAGGAGGACCCCCCTTGGCGGTGGCGTGGCCATTCAGATGTGGATTTTGCTGTGGATGAGAATGGCCTATGGATCATTTATCCAGCCATTAATTATGACACCTTCAACCAAGAGGTGATTGTCCTCAGCAAGCTCAATGCCATGGATTTGAGCACCCGTAAGGAGACCACCTGGCAGACAGGTCTGCGCAAGAACTTCTATGGCAATTCCTTTGTCATCTGCGGTGTCCTCTATGCTGTTGACAGCTACAACAAGAGGAATGCCAATATTTCGTATGCATTCGACACGCACACCAATACCCAGATCATCCCTCGCCTGCTCTTTGAGAATGAGTATTCCTACACCACTCAGATAGACTATAATCCCAAGGATCGGCTCCTTTATGCTTGGGACAATGGCCACCAGGTTACTTACAATGTCATTTTTGCTTACTAAAGACACAATGGAGTAATTTTAATGGGCCACAGCACCTTTATTATATAAACATGTTTGTTTTTAATTCAATAAACCAGAGTAAATGTGTGAGTTTTTTATAAAGTTTTTTTTAAATAAAATAAAATCGGACTGTAGAACAGTCCATATACCAAGTCAACCCTTTTATTTTGGGCATAACCTTTTTTTATATTGAATATGCTGCCTACCCTGAGACAATGGGACATATGTCTCCATTAACCCTGCCAAGTGCAGGCTCCCAGAAGGGGAAAACCCAGGTCTTTTACCTTTATTATTGTAATACAAAACTTGGTTTGGATGAGAAAACCCTCCAAAGTTAACATTTTTTTATAATAAAATATCATTGTTGAAATTCAGTAAAACCAGTGTCCTGTTCAGATTTCTACTGTTGTTGCTTGTTCCTGTTTTCTTTATCTATTTTGATCAACTGACCAGCTCCCCTATGGTTTTTAAGGTTCCTGCTCAAATTGCTATGTCTTTTTACATTCACATTACAGTTAAGGCTCCAGTCCTACAGTATCTGGAGGCTCCAGGGGCTGTAAGATACTGTAAACTTCATCATCTGCAGGAGAGAGAGAGATCTGCTGAAGTCCTCCTTTGGCTGAGGACAGAAGGCTTCACAACGATGGCTCCACTACTGTGGGTGCTCTGATCTGCAGATGACAAGGGCAAAAAGGGGCAGATCAAGAAGGCTTTGGACCTGGCAGAGTCAAGACTCTTTCTTAAGGATGTCCCTGGAATGGAGGGAAAACTATGCCAGCCCTGGAGCTTGGTTCCCACCCCCATTTCCCCATCTCTGATGAGAAGCAGCTTAATTCCTAGAAGCCTAAAACCAGCAAATGCCTTAATCTGCTAGAAATGAAGATCCAGAACCTTTAGCCCCCACATTGCCTTTCCTTACAGCTGGGTTAAAGTGGGTGGAGAACCACCTGGGAATTGGCAAAAAACTGAAACAGCATGAAATGCGGTCTCTTCTGCCTCTATTGCTTCTGTCACTGCCGTGACCTACCTGAAAGGCAGAGTTGTCAATGGCTTTTCCAGCCAGTTCTACCAGACCCCAACCAAGATTACCTTGGTCAAAAGTAAGCAAACCAGGATGACCTTAGCGTTGCCATTTTTTTCTTGGCTATTTGAAGAAACAGAAGAATGTGAGCAAAGGCAACAGAACCCTCTTAGCTATAGAGTTTTTAGCTTGTTAGACCCAAACCCATATAAAATGTGACCAGAAAGAAGGGTTGTATGTGGTGGCTTTCTTTAGGCCTGACACACACTAAAGTATTATCTGACAAATGTACAGGGTTTCCCCCCCCCCATACATATTGTCAATGCTTTAAATCATTTCAGAATCAGCTGCAGACATGATTACTCTCATGACACTGTTCATTTGGGAAGTTGAGTCATAATTTATTTTTGACTCATCTCTGGTTTATTTAAAGCTACAGCATAACTGGTATTTTTCTTTGGGCCTTTTGGATGGTCCCTTTTCCCATTGATGAGAAATCTTTCCTCATCCAGTCTCCTGGGGTCAAACTAGTGAGAACTATCTATAAATTACCAAATTTGGAAGCTGACATTGGAATAATTTTGTCCTAGCTGCCATTAAGTTACTCAAGGCCAAAATTCTAAGTATGTTGCTTTATGGAACCCAGTTGTGCATCTGTCGTCCAATGCTGAGACTTCTAATTTTCTCCAGAGTTTCTCTTGGGGTCTAGAATTAAAGATTCCCTTTAGATCTATGAAGGTTCCTTTTGGGAGATTATGGTATTATACTATATGACTGCTAAATGGTGCAGAATTATATAATGACATGAAACTGGCCTGCTCAGGTATTGATATTCTCAGGTACAGACAATGATATAAACAACTGGGATATAATTTCTTACTTCCTGAGAAAAGTCTGATTGGATGATAATTAGTGGTTCACACGAATCTCTATTTTTTTTATATTGCGAGAGTGATGAAATTAAGCCAGTCTTTGGATATATACATACACTGATTTATGAAAAGAGGGGCTAACATTGACACATACCAAGTTGGATTTAGCTTTAAACATTTTGGTGGAAAATTAACTTTTGGAATCTTGTAAAGAGGTACTGGTGACCACACCAGAGGGGGGTCATCTAATGACTGGCTGTGGGGGGGATACTGTCTTGAAAAGATTTAAACAAATCATGGGAGTGCTCTGGCCTAGGAATCAAGAGGAATTAAATATTATTGTTATTTGGATTTGCTCTAGTTGTAAATAATAATTTATATAATAAAAGTATATACAATTATATATAATTAATAAATTATTATTATATTATCATAATGCCCAGTGAGGCACTACCTTGACATGGTTGTGGGGCCTGCGT